AGTGCGTCTCTGGGCTGCTCCTGCCTTAGTTTCTCTGTCTCCTGTGCCCGCGTCTTGCCGTCAGTTTTCTTCCCTCTCCCGCCTGGGGTTCCCATCTGAGAGCTGGGCCCCAGCCCCAGTCTCCAATTTCCTACTTTAAACCTAGGCCTACCGTCCCCAGGCTTCTGTTCGAAGCCGCCCTTCCCCAGTCCCGGCCCCTGCTTTCTCGCCACGCACCTGTGCCCCCGCCCCCACCCCACCCCCCATCCCCCCGTGGCCCGCAGCCCCACATCCAAACTGTGGCCCGGTACCAAGTGGCCCAGCGGCTGGGAGGGGGAGGCCGAGTTGCTGGGTGAGCTCTGGGTGGGCCGCACCCGTGTACCCCCGCAGGGCCTGGACCCCAAGGATCAGGAGAGCCAGGATCTTCAGAAGGGGCCTCACCCTGCGCCTGGAGTTCTCAAGGCCAAGTCCCAGGTGGTGAGGAAGCCCATGTTGCTGCCGAAAGCGCCGAAGATGGCTCCTGGTGTGAGCATGTGGAACCCACCACCCAGGAGCTGCTTAGCCCTGCTGAACCTCAACAGAAGGACAAAGAAGGCAACAACACCTCTTGTCCCATCCACACGGGTGCCTCAGATCCCAAGGTGATGGTGGCACAGCTAAGGAAAACTCAGGTCCCCAAATATCATCACTCCCCTCCAAGCACCCGCCCCATCCTGGGCCCTGAACCTCAGGCAGTGGGAAGCCGCCTGCCTTCTGTCTGCCTGCCAGAAATAAACACCTGAGTTGCTTTAAGAATTGGCCCCGTGTCTGTCACTTTCTTCCAAGTGTGTGTTCTCTCAGAACTGGAGAGGGGCAGTTGTCCCGCAGGCCTAGAAGACAGAACACTGACTCCCGGGAATAAGTGCATTACCACCCTTAGGAGACCCTGCTTTAGGGCCAAGGTGACTCCCCAGCAGAGGCAGTCTGGAGAGCCATCTGTCTGTCCACAAAGGAGCAGATGTAAGAGTTTTGAGTGGGGGTCTGCCTCAGTTTGGAGAAGTCATCGAGTCTCATTCCAGTAGGGGAGGAAGGGGATGGCCCTGCTTAAGCACAGAGTGATTCAAGGCATGAGGAATTCGATTTCCAGTCCCTGGGTCTCTGTCAGTTCACCTTAGAAAGCGAATCCAAGTTTTATGTGGAGACAAATCAGCCGATGCAGGGCTCAGGGCAGTCCTGGCTCTCTTGATCTTTGATATGGGCCAGCATTGGAGTGAGGCAATCAGGTCACTTGGAAAAACAATTTAAGGAGGAACTCACTCTCAGGTTCAAACGGGGAGCTCCAACACATCCAAGAGGGAATCCCTCCTTAAATTTTGTGTCTGCTCCACACCAACCTCTTGGTTAGTCCCTATTTAGCTTTGGCTTCTCCCTCCCCACCCTCTATGTGGGCAAGGCTTCCACTGACAGGCCAGCATTCTCTGCTACGTCACTGTGGTTTCTACTCAGCACCCCAGTCTGGGGTCCCGGCTCCGTCCTCCTCACGGTGGTCCTCCTGCTTAGACTAAGTGTGTGTATCTGGCATAAGTGTTATCTCTGGGACCTCCAGCACTGCTCCACAGACCTGACCGGGAAGACGGCAGTGGTGACTGGGGCCAACAGTGGTGAGTGCTCATCCTGCCCTGTCACCTCACATGGGCCACAGCCTCCAACAGCCCCAACAGGGGGTGCAGAGAGGAGGATCAGCACCCACTCTCACACCCTTGTCTCTCCCCTTGCTCCGCTGCCATCTCCGCACTCCCCGGACCAGCCTTCTCTGAAGCTGCCCTCCCACAGGCATCGGGAAGAGCGTGTCCCAGGAGCTGGCCCGCCGCGGGGCGCGTGTGATCCTGGCCTGCCACAGCCGTGAGTGTGGACAGCAAGCCCTGGCCGAGATACGAGCAGCCTCACAGAGCAACCAGCTCCTGCTTGGTGACGTGGACGTGAGCTCGATGGCCTCCATCCGGAGCTTTGCTCAGTGGCTTCTGTGTGAGCATCCAGAGATACACCTACTGGTTAACAATGCTGCAGTCTGCGATGTGTGTCTTGACTTACTTCCCCTAAACGCATTTCAGGAGCCTCCTTTCTGGCTCAGGGACCGCAGAACAGGCACCCCCAAGCCTAACCTGTATATCCTGTGGAAACACTCCTCATTCGGACACTGTCCTAAAAAGCCCACCTTAAGTTGTAGCTTCAGGCTTCACTGCCCCGATCTTGGCACATACATGCTCCTGTGGCTTTTCTACTGAACCCCCATATATCCTCCCCAGACATCTCTCCCTGAAGGTTGTTATTCCACCACCCACCACCTATGTTTTCATCTCCTCCCAGGATTGCCCACAACACGTACCCCAGAGGGCCTTGATGTCACCTTTGCCACCAACTACATTGGACCCTTTCTGCTCACAAATCTGCTCCAAGGTAAGGAAGGTTGGGTGCTTATCTTCTGTGCTGCCCCTGTGTCTTCATTCCTCGGGCATTTCCGTGGCTTACCGCCTCCCGTGGCCCCCAGATGCTGCTGAACGATGCCTCAGTACACTTGCTGGACACAGCAGGGGAACCCACTTGGCACCAGCCAAGATTAGGAGGCTGGTAATGGAATCAGTCAGCCCCAAATACAAGCAGCAAGAAGGTGTAAGATCTATGCAGGCCGCCTCCCCGTCCCCCAGGTCTGAGTACTAGCCCAACCAGGAGTCACTCATCCCAGCAAAAGCTTTCTGAGGTCACTGGGCTGCTAGGATTAAGGACGTTCTCCCTGGGGAGGTGGGGGTGGGTGGCAGGCACATCCTCCCTAACAATGTTTTCTAGATGGTCTAATGACCTCTTAAAAAGCTAATTAATTTTTGGCCAGGTAATACACGTCCAAAGTAGAAAATTGAAAGTGTGAAAGTATACAAAATGATATGCAGAAAAAAAAAGAAAAGAAGGAAGAAACTAAAGAAAAAAAAATCTCCTTCTCTCCTTGAAAAGCAGCTCCCCATCCCCCTCCTGGGGGGCAGCTGCCAGTGCCAGGGTCTCATGTTCCCTTTAGCGGGCAATTAAAGTAACCCCACCTGGAAAGTGCAGAAAGTGCAGGGTCAAACTATGCATTTGCAAGTATAAATGTTTTTTTCCCCTTTCCAAAAAGCGTAATATGCTACAACAACCAGTCTGTGCCTTGCTTAGTAATAGTTCTTTAAACTGAATTCTCTCCTGTCTTCCC